CACATGTCTGTCTCACATTGACCGTTGACTCTGCAGTCACACCGTTTGTTCGTGACTTTCCCCGACGCGGGACAAGTAATGTTTAAGCTTGCTTGACTGTGTGTGGGCATGCGTGGGTGATTACAGTGGTATTACCTGCCCGCCTTTATTTTTTCCAATTCAAACACTCTTCTAGGGCTCCCATCTCCTGCTTCTTACGCTTTACTGCTTTCTCGTTTACGTTTCGAATTTCGGCCCTGATCCTATCGGTAACTCCATCCTCATTACTCTCTGACAGGCCTAATTTTCATCTTCACTTTCCATTTCTCTTTCGTAGCCTGAAGTAACATGCCTACCCTTTCGCCACTCCAGTTTCTCCTATTTCTGTGTCTACCACCGATGTCGCTGGTTGGTAACTCTGGCCTTCTCAGGTCTGCGAAGTCGTTCCACAGTCATACATATACTACCAGACACAAGGGAACCTAAACAGAAATTTTTCAGTGTTAGGGGGCGCTCACCGATCGTTCATACGGAACTCACTCGTTCCGTTGTGCCTTAAGGGCTCTCTCTCGAGCCCAACCAGCAGCCGCACAGCGGCGCATGATATATAGGCAGAATGATATTACCGACAAAGACAAGGGAGACTGGAATGGCCATTTCTGGCCTAGAAATTTTTCAGTCCAGTTAAACGGTATTCCTGTTTAGAGCTAGAGACTAGACGGAATGCAAGACTACGGTCAAGTGTCAAGTGTGCGTAACCGTATCGCTTCTGCTGGCGTCAACCGACTTTGTAATGTTAGGTTTGTTAAACCTGCACACAGTCGTTCTCCCTCTTTTACAGAGAAGTATGCCACTTTAAGTAGCGTTATCATCAGATATTCGTCAAGGTTGAATTGGGTAGTCTCATACCACAGGCAACGTACTCGATATTTTTACACATTAGCCTTTTTATGCATTGCGCGTCTTTGTACAGGTGCCGTAGACTAGGCAAGATGTTACCTACAACACACATGACAGGTCTTGCACTCAGCTCAGCTGCGCCAGCACCATTGCCTAGATGATAGTTTCGGTCATTTTGAATGACTTAATTCTTGTTTCTGTGATTGAAATGCTGAAGTTCATATCTGCTCAAGATCCGGTTACCTGTTACATTTAGGACATGTGGGCTCAAACACGACATTTCGGCCGTCGGGAACGACGGTGGTGGCATGGCGGGTTCAGGGATGGTGAATTGCGCGTGATTAGATTAAAGTGCTAGTGGACTTTCGAGGTATTTACCTCACTCTATCCTCCCTTACCCTTCTGGACCCGGTGTCCTGACAAAGTCAGGAAGACCGGGGGGAGAGCGCAATAACTGACAAGGTTAAGCAGCCCGTTTACGTGTGCCCCACATACCCGGTCCGCGCGCAAATTACCGGCTTTTTAAAGAAATAAGAGGGCCTGGGCCCTAAAAGAGCGAGAATGCCATGGAGACAATATTAAGAAGGAACCATTACAGCCTGACTTCTCGTCCAGAAGGGCCGAGTGATCCCGTTATCTAGCAGCATTTCAAGCCACGGCTTTAAGGACATCGTGATAGTTGAAAAACGCGTTGATTGCCGTTGTGGGCGGAGCTCACAGAGTCGACCTTACTTTCTTTTCCTTCTCCCAAACACCAGTCCACTGTCTATCGCTCTTTCTTGATCTTGCTCAGTTCCTTCACTTTTGGCTGTCGTGGCTGCTTTATAGTGTCCGTCGATTTTCTGTAGGCCACTGACCACAATTATTTAACTGAAGCAATTTTTCACGTTTTATTTCCGAGAGAATCCCTTCCAAGTTGGATTAAAAAGACTGCCTAAAGAACATATTGTTGTTACTGTGTTGCGGCTTCTCAATAGAGTTTGATGCACCTCGCACACGTAAAGCTAATCTTTACACTCTTCGCTCTAGGTGCTCGCCTACTCCATTCAGAAGTCTGACATGGATCTCCGACGCCTCATGTACGAAAACATAGTTCTTTCTGGTGGATCGACTTTATTTAAAGGTACGTCTCGAAGAAGTTAAGTAGTCGCCTGCTTTTTTGGCACTTCTAAGTATACTCGCTCTTAACTTTTGAGGAAAAATCTCCATTTAGTCGGAAACTGGCCGAAATTCATCGACCAAAACTCACATTTGATGATAAATGACTCTCGTTTAAATGAAAAGTCAAAAGAAGTATTATAAGTAATATTACGCCGCCTAAGCAATGGCATTTTTTAAAAAGAGTGAAACTATCGAGAGCGCGAAAATTAATATCAAATGAGCAAGACTTATTTCGTTGAAGTGCATTGGGTCTGTCCTTGCAAGCAATTAGGCAAATTAAACAGCGCAAATACAACACTTAAAAAAATCTTTGAGGATAGTTATCAGAGTAAATATCCCCCAAGAATTAGTGTACTATGTAGCATGGCAGCTAATCGGTCGCTTGAGGCCGGATTCTGTGTTTCCAAGCGGCATTATGAGAATCCGATATAATTTTCTGTTTTTGCATTCTTCGAGTCGTTGCCAACTAATGCGATGAGGATCTCGCCTAATTTGGCAGATAGGGACGTCACAGACATAAAAGCTTTCGTATGGTCTTACGTCGAGATGTCAGCCAGCAACTGAAACATTTGACTGTAGTTGGATGACGATAGAATATGTCGCACCACCTGGTCTCTGCTTATGTGAAATACCTACTTATGTCTTTTGAGTAGGTTTAGTTTTAACACTCGCTCATTCCTCGCCACGCCTACCTCAAGGACAGACTCGGCTTGGGGTTAGGGGCTTGCGGGTTAGGGTTAGAGCTAGGATTGTCGTAAGGGTTGGAGGTTAGGGTTAGGGGATTAGGCTTAGGATTGGACTTTAGGCCTAGTTTTAGAGTCAGGAGTTATGCTTTAAGCATTGTTGACTTCAGTCGCGACAATCACGAAAGTTTGGGTTAGCGATACATTCTTCTCACCTTCTTCCGTGTGATTGGTCATTAGGGGCAGGGATCAGTCCGCCTAAATCAAACCAACGCCCTCGATTTTCACTCTTCCTGTCTGCTCACAACTGTCGATTTCCGGTATTTCAAATTTTTCAATCACACTTTCACGCCTATTTAAACAGGCTAATGGCATAAAGAGAATTTTTTACTTTCGCCCCCGGTTTTTTCTAATTATAACTTATTCGTTAGCGTTTTGTCTATTCTGATTTACGCGGTCAGAAAAGTTAAGTTTTAAGTTGGCGACGGTTGTTTTGATAATTTTCTCTCATTTAGATTAATGGCCCCTGCCAGAGAAACACACACAAATACGCAGATGTGGCCCATGTCAAATAACCTCGTTGATCGCCTGAATACAGGGCGGCATTGATTTCAGCCAAAATCATAAATTATTTCTTCGAAAATGGTGTTCAAACATGTTCTGCACGAGGAAAGGCTTTTTCCGGCACATGCTCAGTTAATATGTAAAATACACGACGTTCGGGGTGCCTCGAGCTGAGCACGTAGATTTCGGCTAGCATGTTTCATGAATTACGTCACCGACTGTACACGGGGGAGTGTGATGTGCAGAGTATTCAGAAAAAGGGCACGCCTTTTTGGACTAACGGTCGCTCCGACGGCTGCACACAGTCTTCATCTGACACTCAGTTTTCACTAGGGACTCCGCGAATCTTCACAATGCGAAACTGTCACACCGGTTAAGCACTTAGATAGATCTACTAAACTGGACGAGGGTAACCGGCGTGGGCCCTATCGAGTGAGACGGGAGATGGGAAAAGGGGTGAAGCCGACCCTGGAAATCGCCTTTCCTTGCCATAAGCGATCTGGCGATTTTTGACTGTCATGATGTCCTAAATGTCCCCGGTTCGAATGCGGCAAACTAACGGCCTCACTATTTTGTCTTCGAAACGTTATCCTGGACAACCAGAGGACAACCACCGTTAACGCTGAAGTAATACAAACCACTCCCCCTGACCATACATTCCTTTTTCGCAATGACTTGGTTGGGCACACGCGAATCTTTTGGAGGTCGGCCAGAAAACCTTTACCATGAGTCTCAACAAATGCAGTTCAGGTTCGCCGTATCCGCTAGTACCTTCAGGCCTTGACATGTACCCATTTGATCTGCTGCACACCTACACGAAAGCGATCGTTAAAGCCTTACTCATCAGTCGTACAAGATGCCTGCAGTGTGGTTTGCGAACGTTGGCAACGAAAACTGACTCATCACCGGTGCGGATGTTGGCGCGGGGCATACACCAGACGGGCGCTTTATACTGCACCAGTAATTGGGCCAAACCGCTTTATTCCCAGTTGGCTTGTCTGTGATTTGTCACTGGCGAGCGAGCAGGCAAGGCGAGCTGGGCGACTGTAACCTGTATCTCCTGCTTAACTTCGTCCTTATAACAAAAAGAGGCGCCCTTAATTAACCATGTATTCACTTAGGGCTGTGGATGATTTTAGTCTCCCTCGATGCTTATTGATTCTTCTACTGCAATGAAGCAGACTTTGCTGGAAAGATCGTCCATCGCAGAGTGCAGGCCCTGCGAAAGTTCCACCGTCGTTGCCGACGATGTCCACCGTTTGCTCCACAACAGGGTGAGAGCAGGGACGGTGACATGCGCGTGAGTTAGTTTATGGTGATAGTAGTTTTGTGCAGCATCCGCCGCAGTCTCTCCTTCCCCACCCTGGGCCTGGTGTCATGACAGAGTCAGGCAGACTGAAGGCGGCAGAAGGTGCAGGTAGCTGGTACGGCGAAAACCCGCGCTTAGGCATACTGCCGCACCGTTTGGTCCACAACTTACATTGACCAGAATTTTTTACGAAAAAAGGGGTGGCATGGACCTGCATTTGGGCCTGCCGCCACATCCCGAAATGTTGGCATTTCTTATCGGTGCGCATCCCAAATAACGCCGGCCGGACTCCGATCTACATCCTGTGTTGGTCCAGCGCATCTACCGCGTGGCCCGTTTTAGGGGCATGCAGGCCTCATGACAGTTGGAGCGTCGTGACCGACTGTGTCCACCGTGCGCTCCACAGCAAGGTGAGGGCAGGCACCGTGGTATAATCCATCTAGTGTTATCTTCCTTGGCGCATAGGCTACAGCTCACAAATGCTTTTTTGCGATAGGGGTGCTTTGACTTACAGCCTTTGACTTACAGCTTTGCCGTCATCTTGGTGGGTAAGACATTTTTCATGGGTAAGGAATTCCGAATGTCAATCTGGAAGTTTTTTGCTCATAAAAATCATATTCAGTGTAGCCTTTGCATGACCTGAAACTCTGTGACAATATAAATTGCCGTTTTAGCTTTTATTTTGCCCTAACTCGGTGATCTCGGTGGGAGTCAAACCCACAACAGCAAGGCGAACGCTCGAGTACAGTCAACGCTCTAGCCACCTGAGCTACGAGGCCCCACAGGGAGCCGTGAGTTTAATTACCTTTGGGTTAAGTTACCCGCCCAGCCTGCTGCGGCGTATAGAATCCACCAAATCGGATACAGTAAGCTGACTGCTCAAGCTGGATATCCTAAGTAGTCGATCTAAAGTCAATCAGACAACCATCAGGCCCAAAAAACTTATCAGCGTTTAATCCGGTTGCCTGACTACCGCACCACATTATATTTCTCTCCGTCTTACTCGTTTTATCGACAATTTCTATGTGGACACCGCTTAGGTTAGTAATTTAGAGCATGCAACCTGATCATCATCTTTAGCTTACGATTGAATTCTGAGCTTCGCCACAAAAGTTGATTAAAGTTACTGCTATCCTTCAGGTTTCGGCGCACGACTCGTCCTGGAAATGAAACGCCTGGCTCCGAAAGACGCTAAATTGCGCATCTCCGCACCTCACGAACGTCTCTATTCGACGTGGATTGGTGGCTCAATCCTTGCCTCTTTGGACACCTTCAAGCGCATGTGGGTCTCAAAACGCGAATACGAAACAGAAGGTGCACAAATATTGCATAGGAAGTTCCTGTGATAAACCCTAACTTCGACAGCACCACCACCACCGCCACCACCACACAGCACTTGACCACTTTCTGCTTGCTCGGTGCACCCTTTCTTATGTTTTCCGCTTGCGTTGCGCGGCCCCCTCCAAGCCAACCCCTGACTGGTTGTTCGTCCCTCTACAAGTCCTTTTGGTCATCCGTTTGCCTCCATCGGAAACGGGATTAAAGCCAGAGTTGGTATATTTTCCACACCAATTTCATTACTTCAGTATGTATTCTACCCTTCCATTGCATTTTCAATGCATCATGGTGAGGCTTAGGGTGTTTCGGAGAGGGCTGCCATCGAAAATAGTCGCCATTTGTCGGCAAACATTCCCCCGTCAACGCTTAACCTCCCAAAGAGGCCGTTAAATTTTACTTCCCAGCCCCCTTTCCTCTCAACGCTGTCTCCGACTATCACCGTTTTCTCTAAAAGAGATGGATTGAAGTGCGGTCGGCATTCGCCAGTCCTCCGACCCTTCTCATTGCCCTTCTCATACCTTTGTGTATTTTTCATGCAAACGAATAAATTATATTGGGGAATTCGCCACCGGAGTTCTCTTTCGAACTACTGTGCTCAATTAAGCCAAGTAAGGATCCTGTACTGACTGAGTACTTGCTGCAGACGTACGTTTTCATGGTTTCACGCGAACAAAGTAGGTTGTGGCTGCGTTACTTTGCTGTGACCCACGTGTTTTCCATGTCGCGAACTCTCATATACTAGTCAGACTTGTAACGACGTTTGTCATATCTGGTATGGCCGGCCTCAATAGCCTGGCCGATAGTACCCCGCGCGCGACGGTCGGGTACAGCAGGTTTGGAGAGCTCCATCCACTACCTTTTAGATCCATGAACTAGTTTCGTGTCTCGACGAAAAGCATCTACCCAGTCACTGTGTTGAACTTTTCGTTGTCTCGGCTCGATGGCATCGGATTGGGGATGGCAATAATGCCCATATACACTTTCGATAGCCTATGAGAATCTTGCGAGGAAAACGGACCAGGGTGGCGATATTGTGCATACTCCACGAGGCAGCCATTTGGTGCTGATATTTCTGAGTGTCCATTGTCAAAAGTTTACGGTGCACAAATATTGCCTGCCGGTGGCCTCGTCTTGGTTAGGAATAAGACTCGAAAATACGTCGGTCTTTGTAACGTTGATGGATAAATCGACTGATCTAATTACTCGGTTCATCTGCGATTGCTGTCGTAGGTCATCCCAGTTTGACACCTGCAGGACGATATCGTGGGCTTTCCTCCGCGAGGTCGACACCGTTGAAGTCGCGTGTGGTCCTCCGGAGGATCCAACCAGTAAAACAGTCAGGCAGAAAAGGCGATAGGAAGCATGTTTACCAAGTCCAAGAACAAACAGATCAACTGGGGGAAGTGGTTGTAGACTAGAATTCGCGCAGTGTTGGAGTGGTAATAGATCATGGTTATAACCAACTTTTTCACCGTCATTAATTCCACCAATCTCCACGGAGATTTATTAATACTTCGGTCGTCTGCTGCTGGCAGCCACGATAGCACTTACCAATGCGCCCCATCTTGGATATTTAGTAACCACATCTGCGTCCACGTCGAAATAAGGCTTGGTTAATTTTCGTGCTTGACTGGAATTCCTCTCACTTTGAAATTGCCAGAGAATGGTGTTGAGAAAACGTCTGCAGCAGTGACAATGCGACTTGTGTCGAGATGCCTCTTACACTTCGTCTTGTCTTCCTTCTTAGAGACAAACACAACGGTTGCTCGATCGCGGTTATGCGGATCGAACCCCGCACTCACACTTGTCTAATCGCTTCATGGGACGAGGGTGCCCGAATGCTGATAACATTTATAGACTTCAGCAAGAATGCGGTCCCCTCCGAGTCCCTTAGTGTTTCGCGGCCTTCTTACCGCATCTGTGATTTTCTCATGTGAAGGAGGATCACATGACGTTGCGAAGGCTGAAGAGGGATAAAACTACCGCAGGCGAAATAAGTGTTTACGGTTGATCGTCGAAGAGGGCGTCGGGAGTGTTTACGTCAGTGCTCGACCTTGGCCAAGTTGTCTGCAGTAAAGCCGCTAGTAACGCCGCGAACAGTCGTTCGACATAGGAGCATCTGGTGAAGTTAGCAGTTTTCGGGAGTCATCAACTTCAGAGGCTTGCTTCGTGAAGGTTGCCACTTTGGTCCAGTCGTTTTAACGATCTTTATCCGCGTTGGACGTTCTGCCGTGTTCGCGGAATGAATCATCATTAGGGGAGGAGGGGGGAGTCGAGGGCAGACAACCATAGGGTGTTTTGTGCTGGTCCAGTCACTGATGCACCGGGAATTGCGTAAACTGTCCCGCGAACTGAAGGCTTCAGTGATGATTATTGGTCACTGTTTCCTTAAATTTGGGTTGCAGAACGAGACCAGATTTCTACATTCAGAACCCCGACTGTCTTGGATTGGTAGGACCGATTTATATGACCCCCTAAACAGGATATGTGAATAGGAACACCCCGCCCAAGTAATAATTGTCGATCCGCGCATAATTCCGGAAGGGACAAAATATTCTCGTGCCCTAACCCCAACAAAAACCCTAATATAAAACTAAGCCGTTGCCCTAAACCTTAACTCTGCAGTTAACACTAGCCCCCATCTTTCTCGTAAACATGATCCTGAGTCGCTTGACCGTCAACTTTAAATCTAGCCTTAAACCTAGACCTTAACCTAATCCCAAGCCTAAACCTAACTCTAATTTCACTGGAAGTTGGCTTACAGCCGCCGGTATCGCAGGCGGTTCCTGTTCTGTCCTGCTTGAGGGGCCGTATAGGTAAGTCTTGCTTTGAATTTTCGTAATTTTTTCGAATTCCTAGTGTCCTTTTCGGGACTTTTTGGTATCGAATTGAGGGTAAACTTTTTAACATGTTGTCTGGGGACGAGAGTACGATCTAACCTGTGGACGTTGTTATTTCAATACCACCCTCCGATCTGTTATCGTGCAGCCAATCACGACACCGATACAAGTGAACATGCAGGTTCCAGCAATCAGTTGATAAAGAGTACATGCAAACGCCAGAACAAGGGCTTTATTCGCCTGACGCCTCGGATTCACACTGGGACCCATCATCAGACACAGTAACCTTATCTGGTTCTGTTTCTGATGGGGAATGTCAGGCAAATAAAGCTCTTGTTCCAGCAATCACATCTACTTCTTACCAACTTCAGGATGGTTGATTGAAGCAAAACCAATCTAGTTGACACGCGACGATCGTTAGAATTCCGGAACAGAAAAATTCACGCCTTATTCAACAAGATTTATGATGCGGATAGTTTGCATGTGTAGTCCAATGTCCCAGATCTATTAATGTTGCCTTCAAGCCGCGGAGTCTTATCCATGGACACTGCCCTATTTTCTGATTGACTGGAGTCTTCTGCGGAAATCCTTGAAAATAGGCGAACATTTCTTTGAATAATCTGCACCCCTCGTATACAAAGTGCAGGTAGTGGGAATTGAATGCTCGTACGGCAGGGTAGGTGCTCAACTAAGGGCCGCCATGCCACCGTAAATGCAGGAACTGTGGTTATATTTCACACTAACAAGTGTTGCAGCCTCATTCAAATAGCCCTTCCAAACAGCAAGCGTTGTCGGTGATTTTTTGCCAAGGTTTCACGATTTTTGGCCTCTTCTACGACTTCCGCGCCCGATTAACCATAATCTTGTTGAAATGCAAGACTACATGCCGCTCATCTTTGCAGGATCGATTAACCGGAAAATTTGGTGAATGGAACTAGTATCAGTAATTGGAGGCGGGGAAATTAGGAAACACGTGTCCTCAGTGTTAGTGCATTATTGCGTGGAGTACGGACTCCTTCCAGTAGTGCGAAGCTGCAGATTTTAGTAGTTTTGTGGTGTCGTAGCAAATATAGTCTACGCATATCTTATTTCCCGTGTTCGTTGCCTTTATTTGGTGTTGAATTCGAAACTTGAACTGAAACGTCAGGCACACAGAATATATGTTCCACCGACTAGATGTCTTCCTTAACTGTTTCCCGGAGCTCGTCATCCTGCATTTACCGGTATAAGGACATTTTATGGGACGATAAAGTAAAGGATAGGCCTCTGTCGAATGTAAGAGGTGCTATACTGTAGTGGCCAGAATTAATCAGGCCAGTCATACGAAGGCATTTCCCTTGCACATCTGAACCTCTCCTATTGAAGTCGAAAACGTAACTCAGCCAAACCCAGTCCAACAACTACAGTGAGGCCTGCCGGTAGATCTTCTTTCGCATGCGTTTATTCTGCACAGTCCGGTAAGAAAAGCAGATGACCTTATCGAGGCGGCTTAAGCCACAAAAAGAGCTAAGCCACTATGATCATCAGGTTCAGTTCAAAATGGGAAGTTGGACGCCAGTTTGGAGGATGCCGTGACAGTTCGACCATCGTAACCGACGTTGTCCACCGTGTGCTCCACAACAGGGGGAGAGCAGGAACGATCACTTGCGCGTGAATTAGTTTATAATGAGAATGGACCTGCACAGTATCTACCTCACTCCCTCCTTCTTTTCACCTGAGCCCGGTGTCAAGATAGTCGAGAAGACCGGAGGCGAGAGAGAGCGCAGGTGGCTGGCACGGCCGGATCCGTACCTAGGCGCACCACCACACCTCTGGTTCACAAAAAAATTTCGACTGGGATTTTAACCAACCAGAGCACAACGGGTCAGAAAGAAGACGATGACTGGGCACCCACGCACACGACCTGTATGCCCAGCGGGTGCGCAAGCGCATCTACCGGCAGGGGAACAGGGGCCAAGGAAATACCAGCGCACACCAGGCTGGGAGGACCATGGTTTGTTGATCATGATATAGCAGACGCAAACAAACCTTACGGCCTATAAGAGTGACACTCCGCCCTGTATCTAGCCTAGGCCATCAGCCTTAAAAGGCCGTGTAACCATTCATTGATCAACTGAGAGGCACTACCCATAGAACATACACTTCACATGCGTGGGAGTCGTGAGAAGGAGAGGCGTGGGAGTGGGAGTCCAGCCTGACACTCAGCCCACAAGTCCGCCACTCCACACAACTGGGCATACTGCGTGGACTGAATTGTGGCGTCAGTCCTCAATTTTCCAAGCTACGGCGCTTGACGCACCACGGTAGTTTCAAACTCAGTTCGCACATGAAACAAAGGATCCACATGGAGAAGGAGGCGACAAGCGCAATTTTCCACTTACGCGGAATGTGGCGATTGAGTGTTTGGGGTGGGTAATGCTGTTGTAGGATGCAGTAGCCGGTGGGGGAAGGTGTGATGATGTGGTGTGACCGGCGGTTGTCCACCGCGGGTTTTAATGAATGCAAACGCGACCTAACAGGTCGATTCGGTGAGTCAGTGTACGCGGGCAGTGTGGGCAATGTAGGCGGATGCGGCGAATGTATGTTGGTGCTCCAGGCACTGATTCGCCGGTCTCTGTGTAATGGATTCGCAAGTGACCGACCAGGCCGATGCGTGAGGTGAATGTACGGTTACAATGAGGGCAGATATGGACTGGGCCCCCATCACTGGTTATGAGGGTACTGGTGCTGATGGTAGCAGGTGATGGGACGTCGGACGTGGTCCAATCGGTGGGGGGGGGAGTGCGCGAGGTCGTGGTGTTGGTGTTGCTGGTCGCCTTGGTCAACGCAGGGGCTGGGGCTGTGCGGGTGATGTCGCGGATTGATGTCGACGAGGCAACGACAGTGTGATCGGGAGTGACGGGGTGGCTGTCGGCGCGGAGTTGGCGGCAGGGGTGAGAGTGGGAGAAGAAGTATATGCTTTCGGGTTGTTGGCGCATTTCGTCCGAAGGTGTCCTGCGAGACCGATTGGTGCTTGCAAAGTTCGCTGACACCGCGGGCATGTTGGGGTGGTAAAGTGTTGGCTTTGCGGGGCGGGGACAGTTTGGATTTGCGATCTTCGCGTTTGGCTTTGGCGGCAGTGGCACGGTTGGTTTCTTGGATCGCTGCTCCCGTCTTCACCATCTTCCATGTCAGTCTGTCCCGGGCGAAGTCTTCCCATTTGGCCGAGTTGATCAGGGAAGTCTTCATAGTCTCCTTATAGCGTCAGACTTAACCTTCTTGTCGACGGGAACTCCTAGCAGCATCTCCATAGATGAGTCGTTTGGGAATATGACACAGACTAAGACTCATGTGGGCGGATGCGTCAACAGAAACAAGTTTGACATGCAAAGAGTTCTCCCTAAGCTTTGCCATGTGCTCGCATGCGACCAGGATGACGGCGCATCCTTCTAGCCTCCCCCGGAGAGGATTCTGTATTCTGTACGGAGCTATTAAAGAAGAGGCTGGTAGGAGTTGGCTGTCAGACGAGGGAGGGCACGTCCGATGCCGAGAGTGCGGCGTCTGCGAATGTCAGACAGTGGGACAGTCGTCCTGCACCTTCAGCGAGGTTATGTCTGAGTCTGTCTCGAAGATGATCGGCCAGTTAGGACAGCCGGCGTTTGGTGGAGAACCAGACTGCAACCACTGCGCACGTACAAGTAGTCGCGACATGCCCTCGGAGTTGTACCGCTACAAGTGCTCCCTTTCCAGGCGGGGGATCGGGTGGCTACAAGCTCTTGTAAAAGCAGATTCCTGTATACTGGTCGCAATGCGACTGCCTGCAAGGGGTCTAGATTGAGCTGCGAGGGGAAACGGGGCGAGCATGTTTCGTGACACGATCAATGAACGTCCTATCCACGATAGACTATGATCGGAACATCCCCACAACACGCTGCATTGTTTAATCAACCAATGACACCAGAAATCGCCATGCAGTTTTTTTCCTCGCAGAAACGAAGTGTCGCCCCATACTGTTATGTAATTAGGTAGTACTTGCTTCTATTTAGCAGGCATTTTAAGCGTTTAA